ATTTTTCATTAAAATACACTTTGAACATTTTTAAGTAGGTGGGTTTTTTTTCTTGAAAAGAATCTCAGTAAAAAATATAATAATAGAATTTGTATACTTTCATGTAGTATAAAAAAGAAAGAAAATTTAAAAACAAAGTAAAAGAAAAAAAAAAAGTTAGTCAAGCTTTTTAGGAGTTTAGATAAGTATATGCCTAAAATTTTAGGTGAACCAAATAATAAATGTCTAATTTGAACTGTCCATGTGGCATACAGTTCCCAAATTAAATGCTTTCAGAAATTGCCATTTTTAGCAAAGGAGGAGGAAGTGAGAATCAGACAACATTTAGGCTCCTTCTATATAACTGCAATCAGTCTGAAAACTGAGTTTGCCCAATTCGTTGTACTTCATTCTTTGACTAGGATATACAGGACCCAGTAACTCACGTGAAAACAATCTCATTAAGGACACCTGAACAAGATTTCGCCTAGTCCAGGATGTAGCATAAAAATTAGCTGACCATGGCTGTTCTTCTCATTTCTCTACTATGCCTTTTCCCAAAGCAACCTACTACTAAATATTCAAAATATGGTCCCCAGGAAAGCATCTCAAGAATAACTATCAAGAAACAGGAGCTGGGTATAAACTAGAGTATTATTAATTTTTCATATCTAGTCGTTGACTTTTGAGTGTCTAAATAAACGATTTCACTTCTCTCTCCCAACCAGGTGGCAAACCTGCTACGTCTCTTCCAGATCCCCCAGATAAGCTACGCGTCCACCAGCGCCAAGCTCAGCGACAAGTCGCGCTATGATTACTTTGCCAGGACAGTGCCCCCTGACTTCTACCAGGCTAAAGCCATGGCCGAGATCTTGCGCTTCTTCAACTGGACCTATGTGTCCACCGTGGCCTCTGAAGGGGACTACGGCGAGACTGGGATTGAGGCCTTCGAGCAGGAAGCCCGCTTGCGTAACATCTGCATTGCCACCGCAGAGAAGGTAGGCCGCTCCAACATACGCAAATCCTATGACAGCGTGATCCGTGAGCTGCTGCAGAAGCCCAATGCGCGCGTCGTGGTCCTATTCATGCGCAGTGACGATTCCCGGGAGCTCATCGCCGCTGCCAGCCGTGCCAATGCCTCCTTCACCTGGGTGGCCAGCGATGGCTGGGGCGCACAGGAGAGCATCGTCAAGGGCAGTGAGCATGTGGCCTATGGCGCCATCACCCTGGAGTTGGCCTCACAGCCAGTCCGCCAATTCGACCGCTATTTCCAGAGTCTCAACCCCTACAATAACCACCGCAACCCCTGGTTCCGGGACTTCTGGGAGCAGAAATTCCAGTGTAACCTCCAGAACAAGAGGAACCACCTGCGTGCCTGTGACAAGCACCTGGCTATTGACAGCAACAACTACGAGCAAGAATCCAAGATCATGTTTGTAGTGAATGCTGTGTATGCCATGGCCCACGCCCTGCACAAAATGCAACGCACACTCTGTCCCAACACCACCAAGCTCTGTGATGCTATGAAGATCCTAGATGGCAAAAAGTTGTACAAGGATTATTTACTGAAAATCAACTTCACAGGTAAGAAAACAGCCTTCATCATCTACTGTGATGCAAACTGGTGGAGAGATATATATCCTTGGCTACTATCCAGAATTCTAATCCCTAAACTAACCTCAATGATAAAACAAAAATTGCCAATCAGCATTTTTGTAACAATCTGCATTTATCTCGAGATCCTAGGATCTGCAATTATTTTAATGAGCTCTGGTGGTACTGTAGCATAATGCACTGGACTGCTAACCACAAGGTGGGCAGTTCAAACACACCAGCCGCTTAGCAGGGGAAGGTGAGGCGTTCTGCTCCAGTATAAATTTACAGCCTTGGAAACCTTATATAGAGTTGCTGTGAGTTGGAATTCGCTTAATGGCAGCTAGTTTGGTTTGGGGTTTGGTTTTTATATACAAATATGTATATCTCTAAGGAGCTCTGGTAGCGTAGTGGTTACGAATCGGGCTGCGAACCTCAAGGTCAGCAGTTCGAAACTACCAGCGATTCCGCGGGAGAAAGATAAGGCTTTCTACTCCCGTAAAGATTTACACCCTCGGAAACCCTATACAGGGTCGCTATGGGTCGGAACCG